CTCAGTGGAATAAATTTAGAATTCAAATGCTATTACTTCATAAGACAGGGTGAGGCACCCATAAAAATTATCCATCATAAAACCAACGTAACATCAATAATAGAAGAGAAGACAACATTTGGGTTAGAATTGTGTAAGCTGATGGATGCAGAATGGTTAGGTACAGACATGATGATTTTTCCCTCTGTATTTTTGGTGTTTGTCCTTTGTTTACGGCTGCACATTTGCAGGCATATTTGAGAAACATGGATTTATAGGATTTATAGCTACCTACTGTGCCATCCACTTTCAGTAACAGTTGGTTTCCTAAATGAATTGGCAAGTAGGCATATCACAGTAGTGTTTTGTTTTATTTTCTATGGTGTTAGTATAGTTTGCTTTCGAGCAGAAAAGGGAAATCTTTGTGCCTGAAGTGGCTTTTGACAACTCTTTAAGTACCATTACTCCTATAAAGGACAAGATGTGGTTTGAATAATTTAGTAGTGCTAAAATGTCACATTTTTAGAACATCTATTTTATGGCTTTCCTTGAAAAATCGAGCCAAACACCTCTCCCTGGAATTTATAAACTCGTGCCTCTAAATTCCTAGGTAAACCATAAATTGTCTTCCTCTTTGAATGAAAGTTGCCATGACAACTTGGCAAGCATGGGCTATAGAAGTCTAACATCAAACTCTAGTCTTTAGTTTTTCAGTATTTTCAAAGATGTGATATTATCTTGAGAAGCTCTGGTTTAAGTACAAATGAACATTATTTTCAGTTAGACATATCAGTGATTGTAATTAGACAAAAATCATGTATATTTTTGCAGATAATCCATTATTTAAGTATAATGATATCCTTTACCTTATAAGACTATTTCTTTATTAACTATAGAGATTTAGGGATTAAGGGAAATACCAAAATCATTTTAGATATGTTGATTGCAACAATTATATTGAGCTCAAAACTGAAAGTATGTAATTTTAAAGAGAATATCTATTTGGTATTTATATGGTAATATGGTAATTTGGCTGCATGATAGACTCTGTTACATCATTCACCTAAAGATCACATCTCTGTGTTGCTAAACTCTTTATAATAATACAAAAAATAGGGAGAAAAATTGAAAGTTTTATTTGAACTTATTGTTTTTTTTCAAAACGCCCCTTATATGTGATTCATGGAAAAATTAAATGAATCATTATCATTTGTAGTTCAGACTTGATGATTTCTGGCAGTTTAGGTACAAGTTTCCACTCCTACTTTATAATTAGCTAGAATACCAGAATTGAATACATGTTTGTTATCAAGATCTATAAATCTGTAGATGAGACTGCCTTATTCAATGTTGCGTAAGTCTCTTGAAAGTTACCAAAACATGTTTGTCAGTTAGGATTCTTTTGGTTGACAATAATCCAACTCAAGGTGGTTTTTTTTGATGTTTGTTTATTTAATTGTTTATTTTAAATTCAAATTAGTTAACATACAGTGTTGTTTTAGCTTCAGTAGAACCCAGTAATTCATCTCTTACATATGACACCCAGTGAGCAATCTAGCAAGTGCCCTCCTTAATGCCCTTTACCCATTTAACCCATCCCCCCACCAGCTCTCTTCCAGCAACCCTAAGTTTGTTCTCTGTATTTAAGAGTCTATGGTTTCCCTCCCTCTCTGTTTTTATCTTATTTTTCCTTCCCTTCCCCTATGTTCATCTGTTGTGTTTCTCATATTCCACATATGAGTGAAATCATATGATACCTGTCTTTCTCTGACTTATTTCACTTAGCATAATACCCTGCAGTTCCATCCATGTTGTTGCAAATGGCAAGATTTCATTCTTTTTCATCACTGAGTGGTATTCTATTATGTATATATACCACATCTTCTTTATCCATTCATCAGTTGATAGACATTTGGGCTCTATCCATAATTTGGCTGTTGTTGATAGCACTGCTATAAACATTGGGGTGCATGTGTCCCTTTGATTCAGCATTTCTGTGTCCTTTGGATAAATTCCTAGTAGTGCAATTGCTGGGTCTTAGGGTGGTTTTATTTTTAATATTTTGAGGAACCTCCATATTGTTACCCAGAGTGGCTACACCAGTTTGCATTCCCACCAACAGTGCAAAAGGGTTCCCCTTTCTCCACATCCTCACCAATATCTGTTGTCTCCTGAGTTGTTCGTTTTAGCCATTCTGACAGGTGTAATGTATCTCATCGTGGTTTTGATTTGCATTTCCCTAATGATAAGTGATGTCGAGCATCTTTTCATGTGTCTGTTAGCCATCTGGATGTTAGCCTTAAATAGACACTTTTTCTTTAGAAAAAGTGTCTATTTAAGGGGATTTGACAATTAAAAAATTTAATGGTTCAGCTAAGTGTATAAGCCCAGAATGCGCTAGATGCACTTGATCTGGCTTCTTTTGTTTCCTTTCCTTCTCCTCTTCTCTTCTCTTCTCTTCTCTTCTCTTCTCTTCTCTTCTCTTCTCTTCTCATCCCTTCTCTTTCTTTTCTTTTTTCTTTTTTTTTTATTTTTTTCAGAGATAATGGCTCTGTTTCTATCCATGTTTGCTTTGCCTTCAGGCAGGGTTTCTTCATGGTAGCAAATGGTGGCACAGTAGTCGCAGGTCTCATACCTACATATCTCAGCAATCACAATAAGGGCAGTTATCTCCTCTTTACCTAAATTCCTACATGTCTCATGAATTGGTTCCTTTTAGGTTGTGTGCTTCTGGTGTCCCCCAGCTACTGTGGCCAGTAACAATGACATGGGCAGAATGGCTTGTGCCCACTGTCATGGAGGGTACCTGCTACAAAGCTTCTGGTAGTGAAGCACCAGACAGTAGGAAGGAGTTCTACATGTGACGAAGACACAACCAAATGCTCGTTACCTCCTAGAACCCAGGCAGTCGGTGTCATAATGTTCTGGAAAGGAGTGCTAGAAAACCACTAGGATATGAAATCTCTCTTGGGCTGCATGAAATCTTATTCATGCTTCTTTCTTTGTATCTCCTTTTTTTCCTCCTTTCTCTAAAGAACTTTTTTTATCTTTCATCAGGGTTGTACCCATAATTTGTATCTGATACCCAGAGTTCAATTGGAGGTTGGACGTTTACCTAGTACTTTTTCTTTTATCTTACTGTTAACATTTAATCACTGTTATCAAGATTTATATCTAAGGTCATATTTTTTCTTTTGGTCATGGGACAAAATCTATTTAGAATGCTGCATAGAAAATTCCTTTCCTTTATGTAGTCAGTTTTATATATTTCTAGCCTGATGACTTGAAAGGTACATGGAATTGTTTTCACTAGATTTCAAGAATAATCGTATTTTATTCAATTAGCACTTCAGTAACAAATGCATTAGACAAAATTCACATTCTAAACTTTAGGATTCAAATCACATACACTGTATTTGGCAAACATTATTCTTACATTCCTACATACATTCTTACAAACATTATCCTTACATTCGTACAAACATTCATCAGACATGAATGTTTTTAAATTTATTTTACCTAGCAGACTCCTCAAATTGATAAGCACAATTATATTTTATGTTTAGAAAAAATTAACTGCAGTCCAAGTTAGTTGAGAATCATATGATTTTTCTGGGTTTTCCTCAGTAAAATTGCCTTTTAAAACATGTAAATCTCTTCATTCAGTGAGAGCACAAAAATTAAAGGTTTTGTGACAGGCACCATTGTGATAATCAATAGTGAGAATTCAAATAAAAGTAGAATTTAATAACCCAAATTATAGGGGAAAAATGTATTATTTCCATTTCTGGGATCATTAACTGAAAGCAGGTCTTCATATAAAGACCTAGTTTTAAAGAAGAGAAGTTTGGGTTTGTTGTCACTCAGTAGTAATTATAGTTCAGGTTTTCAGTAAATAGCTCCAAAAGTGACATTTTGTTTGGGCAGCAATTAGATCCCTAGAATTACTGTGGTAAAAAGACTATTGTAAACAGAGTGTGTATTTTCCTCTGTGTTTTATTTATTTAACAATTTCCTCTAAAGAGGTTTATTTTATTTATTTTTAAATCTAATTCACTTCCCTTAGAGGTTATTTAACTCCTCTGGCTATTTTGGAGAACAGTAATATTTCTAGTTGCAGAATATCATTTTTGTTTGATTTTTAAAGAATTTTAGGGACAGTATCTCTAGGGTTTTGTGGGTTTTTTCTCCTTTTGAGGGCTTTTTTTTTTCTTTTTAATGGAACTCTGTGTATAACTCTGGCAATTATTTACATTGGGTATATAGTGACTTAAATGCTTTTTTTTCCCCAGCCTGATTGAGATAGAATTTATATAGAACATTGTGTACATTTAAAGTATACATCCTGTTGATTTGGTGTACTATATACTGCAAAATGATTACACCATAGCATTAGCTAACACCTCCATCACATCACATAATTACCATTTATTTTTCGTGGTGAGAGATCTATTCTCTTAGCTACCTGCAAGTATATAATACAGTATTGTTAACTATAGTCACCATGCCGTGGATTACATCCCCAGAACGTATTTGTCTTATAACTGGAAATTTGTACTCTTTAGCCAACACCCCACAGCCCCTGGTACCACCATTGTCCTCTGTTTTTCTATGAGTTCAGCTACTGTATTGTATTGTATTGTATTTTTATTTTATATCTGTCTATTTATTTAGAGAGCACAAAAACCTGTGTGAGTCCAGGGGAAGGTTGGTGGGAAGGGCGAGGGGGGCAGAAGAAGAGGGAGGGAGAGAATCTTAAGCAGGCCCCATGCCCAGTTTAGAGCCCCATGCAGGTCTGGTTCTCACAACTGTGAGATTGTGACCTAAGCTGAAATCAAGAGTCAGTCACTTAACTGACTAAGCCACTCAGGCACCCCGAGTTCACCTCTTTAAGATTCTGCATATACGTGAGAAGAGACAGTATTTGTCTTTCTCTGTCTAGTTTCTTTCACTTGGCGTAATGCCTTCAAGTTTCTTCCATGCTATCTCTGTTCTTGATGTGCATTATTCTTTTATTACAGGAGGACACAGATCACAATTACTATATATCTCGGATATATGGTCCCTCCGATTCAGCCAGCCGGAATTTGTGGGTGAACATAGACCAGATGGAAAAAGACAAAGTGAAGATCCATGGAATTTTGTCCAATACTCACCGGCAAGCTGCGGTAAGTGCTTTGACATTTTGAATTTCCTTTTCTCTGCTATGAAAAAATTTTTGCTTTAATTGGCATATAAATGTTGTTTGTTACGATCACTTTTTACTATTTAGTCCTGCAATTGCAATTTAGATTCATAATTGAATATAAGGTATTATAGAAAGTGAAAAAGAATTATTTTGAGAAGCCACTATCAATTTAACTATTAATTAATTAAATTAACCATTAATTTCTCTAGTAAGATAATGAATTGAATATTCAAAGTTGAGATTGCTCTTGGATGATTTTGTTTTCTTTTACTCTATGAATTTAGAGAGCATTTAAAAAATTTTTAATGTTTATTTCTGAGAGTGAGACAGAGACAGAGCATGAGTGTGGGAGGGGTAGAGAAAGAGGGAGACACAGAATCCGGACCAGACTCCAGGCTCCAAGCTGTCAGCACAGAGCCTGACACGGGGCTGGAACCCACGAACCATGAGATTATGACCTGAGCCGAAGTCGGCCGCTAAACCCACTCAGTCACCCAGGCCTCCCGAGAACATTTTTTAAAAAGTTACATGAATTTGGCATCTGCCATTTTGCATGGGTTTATTACTTTCTTGGTCTGAAAAAGATTTCACCAGAAACATTTATGATTCAGATAACCAAATTAGGTATCTCAGTGAAAAAGTTTGATATAAAGGGCAAAAAAATTAAATCTGGAAGTCTCCGAACATGTTTCAGCCTGAGTTTATCCTTTACCAGCGTTGGCTCCTTAAACAAGTAATGTAACTTGTAACGAGGTGTAGTTTCTGTATAGTGGGGATGACAGGATATCAATTCAGGCCTCACTTACCGTCCTTGGTCAGTGGTATCCCATGCTACCTGTCAGGCTGAATGCTTACATGGATTAGCTTTTCAATCTTCATAATAACCCTAGGATTTAAATATGCTTGCCATCCAGGTATTGTGGATGAGAGAACCGAGTAAAGGAAAAATCAAATAAGCTGCCTAGAGGCCTCCAGCTACCACTAAGTGATGAAACTCAGCTGTTAGCCTAGGCAGCCAAGCCCACACTCACAATGTGTCTGTAAAGTATATCCCACTTGGTTCCAGCAGTTTTTGATAGTCATTTTTCTCATAAATACCTGATTTAACATTTAGTGAAAAGTTATTTGTTTTGCTATCACAGATAATACCAGTGATCTTACCATCAGTGAACTCATGTATTTTTCAGTTTGCTATGACAAAGGGAAAACACAACTTTGACCTTTCAAATGTTATGACCATTACTGACTTAACGATAGAACTAACAGACGGGGCACTTGGGTGGCTCAGTCATTTAAGCGTCCGACTTCAGCTCAGGTCGTGATCTCACCGTTCGTGAGTTCGAGCCCCACATCGGGCTCTGTGCTGACAGCTCGGAGTCTGGAGCCTGCTTCAGATTTTGTGTCCCTCTCTCCTTCTGCTCCTCCGCTGCTCATGCTCTCTCTCTCTCTCTCTCTCTCTCCTCTCAAAAATAAATAAACATTAAAGAAGACAATTTCAAAAAGAAAGAGAACTAATGGAGTCAATGACTTTAGAGATATAAAATGGCACTGATTTGATGGTTATATCAAAATTTGGGGCCAAAATCCTTCATTGTATATGTGTAGACTTTCCTATTTTAAGAGAACAACTGCTAACAGCTAAAATGGAATTAATTATAACTCACCATGAGATTATTCACTGAATTGTCAGTGTAGAGCACATGTGGTCTGAGGCTGAGAGGCAAGCAAAGCCCCCATCTCCGCTGATGATGAATTCCATCATCCCTTTTCTTTTCCATATTCAGGCAACCCCAGACAAAATGACAGATTCAGAAATGATTCCCTGTTGGGTTTAGAACAAGATTTTCAAAGAGAAAATGAGAAAGTTTTAGATTAGGACAATGTCTATCAGAAATTTCTTGCATTTGACAATCTGCTCACAATATTGCAGTACCTAATACGCTTTGTAAAAGTTCAAATGTTGGGTGCATCCAATTGAAGTTTCCATAAATTGGCCCAGTTCTGCTGTCAGCCACAACGGATGAAATCTTGAGGCAGACAAAGAAGGTCATCGGTTAAAGTGTTAGTGGAGTTCTGCTTACTCACTTTCCTTTGCTCTGCTCTCCCGAAAGTGCGGCCGCTCATGTGTCTTGTCTTGCCTTGGAGAATATTTTTTCTCGTTGGAGTAGGGTTCTCTTGGTTACCGTGTGACCTCAATTCTCTGATTAGTCTCAAGATAAATCATGATGCTGTAATGGTCCATTTTTCTTCCTGTTAGTGTGGGGGTGACACTTCGCTTTCGACACAAGCACAAAATCGTGAGCTTCAGCTTGGAAACTTATCTGGTATTCCATGCTCAGATTTTTAAATATGTATCACTGGTAGAAACATTTATTATTTCAGCTCTGTCATTGTCACGGCCTGTTTGTTTGTTTTGGTTTTTAACAGGAATTTTAGGGGCGCCTGGGTGGCTTCATTGGTTAAGCATCTGACTTCAGCTCAGGTCATGATCTCACGGCTTGTGAGTTCCAGCCCCATGTCAGGCTCTGTGTTGACAGCTCAGAGCCTGGAGCCTACTTCAGATTCTGTGCCTCCCTCCCTCTCTCCCTCTCCCTCTCTCTCTCGCAAAAATCAACGTTAAAAAATTAAAAAGAAAACAACAAGAATTTTAGCCGTCACCAAACATTTCTTAGAGTTAGAAATCGGTCCTGTACCTGTTTTCCTGTCGTTATCAACAGAACACACACACACACACACACACACACACACACACACACACCCCTAGGTCCACACTTCCCTTTACAACAATAGAATTGATAATATTTCTTAGTCTCCTTTTTCGTTCCTGGAAAAATTTGCCACATGGAGTCCTTCATTTAAGTAAGTCTTATGTCTAGGAACGTATAAATTTAGTTAATAGGTTACTTTTAAAAATATTTTTCTACATACGTTCTTGCTTTCTTAAGTGTGATGGTTAAGTATTAGTCTGAGATTTCCAAATTTTAAAGAGTGACTCGTGTTTAAAAATTTCCTCAGTTGGCCTCCCCACCTTTCCAATCTTGCCCGATTTGCTCCATTTCTGTTATGCCTTCCTGGGGGTAGAATCAGGTTTGGGGGGATGATGACAGAATTGTAATGCTAAGGTAGCAGTATCACCAGGGAGCTCAATACTGTCCATAAACATTCTCCCTCCTACCCCCACACCATCCAGGCACCAAAGTACAGCTACTCTCTCCCTTGATGTTACTGAGAGGCTTCAGCAGAAGGGGAAATGGCAAATGGGAAAGAACACACTCACTTTATTATATTAATCAGGCTCGTTGATGTCATAATCTTCATGATCCTTGATGCAAAGCTCTCTGGTAATTTAGTTGGAAACAGGACTTAAATTTAAGCCCTAAGGGAAGAGGGAGATCCTCAAATCTTACCACCAAATAATGCAGTTTTCATGCCCAAGAGCATGCATTCTTTCAGCAAATCAGACAAAAAAGAGAAAAGATATATGTGGCTAGGGGCATACTAAGGGCATTTGGCTAACTAACCCAGCTGTAGATAAGCAGGAGTTGAGTGAGAAAGCTAGAAGATTCGGTTTTCCTAAAGATGCACCTTCCCTCCTCCTTCCAGCTGCCTCAGAACTGTGCAGAGAAAGATAAAAAGCAGTGTCTGACTTGGAAGCATGATTTTTTAAAGAAATATTTTCCCTCCACCACCATCATTTATAAATGCAGTCTAAACAGCATGTTGGACTCTTACATTAATATTCTAGTAAGAGGAAGAGAGTAGAATTGGAGTAGGAGTTTTCCCTTTTCTCCTATCCACAAAAATATCTTATAATTTCAGGGCAGAGGAAAACTTAGAAATCATTTACCTCACATGTCGAAACACACTGATTTCTTTTCCCTTCTCATATATGGGTCATGTGGAAGCCACACACATTAGTATTTATATTATGTATGTATGCTACAATTTGATTATAGTCTCCCCCGTTATCCTTTTAGGTTTAAATAACATTTCTTAAATCATTATTGCAAAAAAAGCAGCTGTTAAAACCTAGTTTTAACTTTGACAGATTAAAGGAAAGAGCATGTTTTCTTAGACAAAGGAAAGTGAAAAATTTGTATAAGTCCCTACCATATGGCATGCAACGAGCCAGACGCTTTATATTCAAATACTGGTACTTATTTGGATATTTTTGTCCTTTCTTCAAAGTCACCCAGTTGTCAGACTGCAGATCTAGAAGCTTCTGACTATAAACCTAGGAACAAGTCTGGATTTATTTCTTCTCCTCTGTGTGGACCTTCAAACTCCACAGTTTTGATATTTTCTTCTATATTTCTATATCCATATTACTTAATATATTGCTTGGGCACAAAGTTTGATTCAATAGCCAGTCAAATTAAAACTATTTTGCTTTCTGAAACCACAGTTTATGAAATTCTGATTCACAGCTTCTAGAGAAGTACCACTGTCCTGGTGGAAGGAATCCAGGGTTAGAAGTCATGAAACCTTGGCTCCAAAACTCATTTTCTTGGTTTCTGGCCTCTCTGTGCCTCAATTTTATAACCTGGAAGAAAGGGGGAAAAAATGCCTGCCTTGACTATCCTCTAGTGCTATTTTGAGACTAAAAATGAAATGGATATGAAAGGACACTGAAAATATCAAATAAAAATGAGATTGTAAGGCAGTGCTATTTGAGAGTCTTTATTCTTTATAACAAGAAATAACCCCCAAATAAGTTAATTCCCAAGTGATCTCTAAGAGTCTCCGATAGACAGATATGTATCTATATATTTATATCTATATTGTAACCCCTCCCCTCTTTTTTTTTTTTTTTTTTTTTTTTGGCCAAGAAGACACCAGTGTGCTTTTGGCCAGACATAAACACACTCTTAACTTAAAAAAAAATATCTATATGTTGGTAGGAAGACTGATACTTTATATAAGAAACCCCAGCAACATGAAATGAAATTCTGTTCCCTCTCTATCATAATGCAGGTAAGG